TAAAGAATAAGTAAACTAGGGTTAAATTAAATGCTTCATAATACATGTAGCTGCAGTAAAACGCGTTAAAAATAAAAAATAAATAAATAAATAAAATTCACCGAAATATATATAAAATTTACGTAAATCAAGGTCTATTTTACAGACAAATGAGCAGGTGAATTTCAATGATGAACAATGATTTAATGGTCATCACCAATGGGTACCGTCCTTGCCAACAAAAGTTATAACAACGAATGTTATGTTCGCCAAATTTCAACAAATAATCACTTATGATGTATGATGGACTTTAAGACACACAGAAAATTTGATAGACATCATTTTGGGAGTAGTTCATACATGTAAAGAAACGTCGGACAGTAAAAAACTTATACTTCCATTTCTAAATTTTTTCTCTATAATAACCCTTTGAAAGTAAGCGGAGTTGATTTCCTGATAATTCTGCCGGAATGTAAATTAGGCAGGTCGATAGGTCAGCAGCTAAGGAGACCTAATACGCAAGCAAATCTCGTGCGCATTTGTCTCTGTGTCTGACGCGAAGGAGGCCAAATATGCATGTAAATCTCGTGCGGCTGCCTTTGTGTTTGACGTCAGTGTGCGAGGACCATTGAAATTGGCATGGAAGTCCTCGTGTAATTTAAATCGATTAGTCTACATTCTGAATGTCTAAGTCTACAATTTTATTTCACAATGAAATGGAAATATAAGGAATCACTGTCTAGTTTTGAGAGTATGCCAGGGACATCAACAATAGTGGGAAACATGGGATAATTTTAGCATAACGGGCTTCGCCCGTTATGCAATATATCCCATGTTTCCCAGCATTGTTGATGCCCTGGCATACTCTCAAAACTAGACAGTGATTCCTTAAATCATTCAAAAGTAACACTATGTTTTAAAAAAATGAGTGAAAACGACAGTGTGTAAGAATATCTTAAAAATTATTTTAAAAAAAAACTATTGTACTAATCCACATTTGTTTGAGATTCAAACAGATAATGAAACTTAAATCTATTGCTTAAAACCCTCGAAACAAAATTTACAATAAGATGTACTTGACAAAAACAGGAAGGGTCTGAGAAGAGCAAAGAATTGCAAAGCACAAAGACCGATTTATGCGCAATGTTCTTAAATATTACTGGTTTTACTGTTTTCATTCATACTGGGGGAGGCAGTTGAGTTTGTGGAAGTGTCTACAGAGCATTTTTTTTTTTTGCTAAAAAGAAAGGTTAATGAGAGGAAGGAACCAGAATCAGGAATCCACTACATTGAATTTCTTCTTGACAGCGTCCAAACCAACACGACCGGAAGAGTAAATGAGTTTTTGGAATAAACAGATTTTTTTCACATTAACAATATTCGCCAGATCTTTCGACTTTTGAATTGTTTCATTTTCCAAACTTGAAAAAAAACACCTATAAGAAGGAAGAAATGAGTCCAAGAAAAAATAAAACCTGCCGTTTTCCAGTATACTAAGCGTCATACCAGAAATGAGTTCTAAAAACAATCAGAAATTGGAAAAAAAAAATAAAATTACGGACAGAATATTAATTTAAATCATTAACTCACTAACTCATTAAAAAACCTTTTGTTTTGCTTCTTTCCGAGGACATTTTTATTGAAGAGCCCTCGCATCTATACCAAAAGTAAATCAAATATATTATCCATCTATCAGTTGTTTGCAAATCAGAAAAGAAAATTTTTAGTCATTAGAAATTTAAAGTTTATTGCACCTGTATTAAAATATTTGATACTTTTTTTATATATTTTTTTATTGTCCTTCTTCAGTACATAGACTATAACTTTGTCATCTTCTGTAGATGACACTCATGGTGTATGGATACCGTTTCATTGTCACAGCCCAGCTAAATACACATAGGTGAGTAAACTCAAAGGAAAACAATTCATCGTATGAACTATGTACAAATATTTGATTATTTCATATTTCCATTTCCAATTGTTTTCCCTATGATAAACACTAAAAAAGTGTTTCTTGTTAATTTCATCATAATACCCTGTGGTATGTATATTTCTGTATTACTGAAAGGTCAAGTGTCAACCTGCATCTATATCACTGGCGTATGAATACACTGAACAAAAATATAGTGTTTTGTTTAATGTGTTTACAAAGTAATAAGATATAATATTTCTTTTTACAAATATAATAAAAAATGAATTATAGAAAAATTTGTTGAACTTTAAGTAGATTACTGGTTTTATTCAAATACATAAAGTAATTCTGTTGAACGTCTGCTAAAATCACACAGTCTTCTGCAACTCCCCATCATTTCCAAAAACACAGTCAATGAGCATGGAGCCTGACAAGTCCTACGGAAAATTTAGTGTTTTTCCCCCAGTAACTGATCGACCAGAGTTAACCAATGAAGATGCGGAGTTATTGCTTTCACTTATATCTGGTAACAAATCTGAGCTAGTTCCAATTGAACTGAAACCGGAGCCCTCTGACCATGATGTAGCTGGCATGGATCCCTTTCATGATGATGATGACTCTCTTCTTGCTTCAATTACTGCATCGGACCTGATACCACATCTATCGCAAACTCCACTTCAAATGGATCTTCAGCAGCCTGCAGATCCTGGTTTGCCTCCCCCTGAAACGCCAAGTACAAGTTATAGATTTAGAAAAGTTACAGAGAAGCAGATAAAAACTTATCAAGAAATGACTCAATCCAAAAACACCAAAAAACACACCAAATGGGGCATCAAAATTTTAGATGGTAAGTTATTTATTCTGCAGATTCTTGAATACAAATTTATAAACATAATACATGTGCAGATTATAGTATAAATAGATATACATGTAAAAAAAAAAAAGGATCACAGATAAAAAATCAATTTAATTTTTTAAAAATTAAAATGAAACAAATAATAAGAAAATAAAATAATAAATATACAAAAAGTATGATAAAAAATATAGAAAAATTAAACAATAAAAGTTAACGAGTAACATAGTGCATGTACATGTATTGTAGATTGGCATTTGGAAACTTTCAATGACAACATTGACCTTTCATCAGTAAGCGCTGAAGAATTAGCCTCTAAACTTGAACGGTTCTACTGTGAAGCTAGACCTAGCAAAGCCAAAACACCAAATGAAGAGTACCATAAAAATACTTTGAAAGGCATTCGTGCAGCAATCAACCGTCGGTTATCAGACCTGAGAAGGGATATTGATATTGTCAATGATAAAACTTTCAAAATGGCAAACAAATGTTTGACTGGCCTCCTAAAACAAAGGATGACAGAGGGAACATCTCGCCCCACAAAACACAAGGAAATAATTCCCAAACCTGATCTCCAAAAAATCTCATCCTTTCTAGAGACTGCATATTCCTCACCAATAAATCTACGCTTGGCAATGTGGTATACCATAGCAATTCACTTTGTATCGCGTGGACTTGAGTTTCACCACCAACTTAAAAGGGACTCGTTCGAATTCAAGACCGACGAAAATGGCTTGACCTATGTCTGTCTCACTCACGAAACAAAGCAGAAAAACTACCAAGGTGGACTAGACAAACATGAGATGATGGCTGACAAACGAATGTACGAAACACAATCAAAAATTTGCCCAGTTCAAATGTTGAAGTTCTTCCTATCAAAGACTCCGATTACTGCTACAAATCTGTTTAACAAATGTGTGAGAGAGGCAATCTCGAATCCCGATCAAGAACTTTGGTACAACACTCACTCACTATCCCAGAAAGCGTTTGTAAATTTCTTACCTGATATTTGCAAAATGGCAGGATGTCAACGCTACACAGCACACAGCCTCCGAGCAACAGCAATCCAAACCATGAATGATGCTGGGTTTGAGGCGCGCCACATCATGTACATGTCCGGTCATAGGAATGAGGCTTCAATCCGGAGTTATTGCAGGGAGCTATCCTCGGATCAAAAGCAAGTTGCCAGTGCAACGTTATCAACCATCACCGAGGTCGAGAATGAGAACTCCACTTCCGTCAACACTGAATCATGTCAACAAATCGCCAAAGCGTCATCCGACATCGTCCCTCAGTCCTTTAATTCCGACCGACAAATCGCTATAGCCACGCCATCATCTGCCATCGTCACTCAGTCATTTAATTCTGACAACTCAACTTCCTCCTCTTTTCTATCATCAACGCAGACCGGTTTCCTGACCAGCTCCCGTTTTATCAACTGTACTCTGACTTTCAACATGGCGGCGGACAAGTAGCTTACACGTGTTTATGCTTCCGCTAAATCTATATATTATCTAGGTCACATATTTATCATGACAATTAACAAGATTACTTTGTTCACGATTTAAATTCTATTGTTGCTTATTTCATAGATGTCAATATTTGAATACAGTAATTAAAAAAAAAACATTTAATTTGTTTCGTGTTTTATGGGACTATTTTTTTAAAGTAAAATTTGACGTCACAGGTCGGCCAATATAAAACATGATGGATGCCTTGTATATTTCAAATCTACGAACACTGGACGATTACAAAAACAAATAAAAAATGAAAATATAAGGAATCACTGTCTAGTTTTGAGGGTATGCCAGGGACATCAACAATAGTGGGAAACATGGGATAATTTTAGCATAACGGGCTTCGCCCGTTATGCAAATTATCCCATGTTTCCCACTAGTGTTGATGCCCTGGCATACCCTCAAAACTAGACAGTGATTCCTTAAATATCAAAAATGGATATTCAAAATATATGCACATACAAGCATTTATTATCAACATATTATCCCCACAAAAACCTTTATGTACATGAAGAACCTGAACCTGTAATTATTTGGTAAATTACGAAAATTGAATGACGACTCCGAACGCATCTGTATCACGGGTTCCACGTGACAACTTCAATTTTTTGGTAAAATTAAGATCTTTATATTTTTGTTAGTTTGCTTAACAAACAATATCTTCATAATACATTACAAATGAAACAACATAATATTTTAAACAAACTTATACAAATAAAAGAGGAAAGAAATTCACTCAGAATATTCAGCATGTTCAGGTAATGAAAACTAAAATGTTGCACATTGGTCAAACTTTTATTATATGTTTTTAGGTATTGAATAGTGAACTATTATCTGCAGCACATACGCAATACTTGCTTAAAATCTATTAAAAAGGTAGATATATATCCTCCACACGGCCTCAGTCTTCGTATATAATATCGTCTGGAAAATTACTTCTTTATTTATTTACTTGCAATATGCTAAATTTGGCCGCCTATGACACATGCAATCACAAACATATTGTTTCAAATAATATGGATCATATGGTATTCCCATTTCATCCATCTGCCTCTGCACAGGACGAAGTTTCACATACATGTAAGGCTTCCAAAATAAGTTGAACACCCCAAATAAATCTGGACGACAACAAGGACAGAAGGTTGTTAAACCCGTATCAGCTTCTTCCCTTTCTTCTTGAATCTTGGGGAAAATAAATCCTTTTAGAAAATTTCTGACAGGGTCCATGCTGACTAGACCTAAAATATGTCTTCAAGAGATTACACACTCAGAAAATAGCGGTTGATAATTGTGCACTGGGAAAACATACTTATACAGGTATGTACTAAAATGATTATTCATCAAATGATCGTTACATTATATATCCTGTTCCTTCGGAGTGGGTTTGTTTGAATCAATGTTAGTTTACATTTTCATTTTCTGAAAATTTAAGTTTAAGCTTCAGTTAAATAATGCAACGTTCATACGTACAGATTGGGTACAAATAGAGCAACTTTACCTTAAAGTTTATAAAAAATGATGCTATTTGGACTTCTGTTTTTTTTTTTTTTTTCGTTACTTCCAAATAAAACGATTCCTTCAGAGTTGTCTTCCTACTCTGAAATTAAGACAATTGTCGAAAAAAGTAAAAATATCATGGACTAAATAAACAGAATTGACGTATCACTATTTTTTTTTCTAATTTACAATTAGAAAGGAGATTATTCAGAGAACTATCTACATTTGGATGAATAATCTTTACTTGGTATCATGTAGTTTGCTATCTGAAGAAACAGAATGCTTAAAACGTATGGATCACACACAGGCCAATAAAACGCAATTAGACATTCCATATCCCGACCCTGAGGATCTAAACTTCTTACTAAAATGCGTCTTGGAAAACAATTACTTTGAATTCGATGGAAAATATTATAAACAAATAATAGGAGCAAGTATGGGGGCAGTCCCCAGTCCAGAGATCTGTGACATCAGAATGAGTCAAATCACAAAGCATATAATGGCACAATTTTGTCATGCCAGCAAAATTGTCTTCCACGGCAGATTCAGTGATGACGGTTTCATAATGTTAAATGGAACACAATCAAGAATTCTTCAATATTGGAAATCACTGTCACACGCATCTAACATTTACATTTGAAATTTCTCCAACTGCTGTGAACTTCCTTGATACAACAGTTTACAAGGGACCGAAATTTCAAATTTTAAACAAACTTGATATCAAGTCGTTTATCAAACCAACGAATAACTTTCAGTATCTACACAGACAGAGCGCTCATAGCGCAGCTGTGTTTAAAGGATTCATTAAAGGAGAATGCATTAGACATGCAAGAAATACTACTGACCATAAATTATTACAAGCAACACTCAATGACTTCAAGACGCACTTATCAAAGCGAGGTTACTCTACTTCGGAAATTGATCCTTTATTATTAAGGAAACGGTCAACACAAACCGATCAAATCTCATCATCAAAAAGACTAAAGAACAGTCATTACGTAACCCTACAGTACAGGGGCCCGTTTCATCAAAAGTCGTAGTTTAAAGCCTTAACTTAGGCGTACTTCCGGGGTTTACGCCAAAATTTAGTCGGGCGTAATTTGCGTTTCACCAAGTGGCGTAGGTCTAGTCGTAAAAGATACGCTTAGTCGCAGGACTAAGTCCTTGACAACGCAGCATTGCGCAGGCGCAAAAACATAAACATTGTCCACTGTGTTCAAACATATATATGTAATATTGTAGTACATCAAAGTACAGAATAACAAAAATTATAGATTAATGAATACTTGCACTGATTGAAACATGCATGGATTGATAGGGTAATGTGCATGTAGGAGATTTGCATCATTCTGATAAGAAATCAATTTTAGTTTTTTTTTTAACAACATTTCAATGATAAAAGTCATAAACTGAAAGTAAGAATATGATTGTACATGTGCATGTACATGTATTTCTGAATTAAGCTAAATTACTTATTTTGGAATTTTAATCAAAGCCGCCCCCCCCCCCTTTCCGAAATTGAAACAGGTTAATGCCTTCGCCTTTGATAATAAATTGCATAATTCGATACATACTGACTCTACTGAAAATATACTAGTAATTAAGTTTGAGACATTATAAGATTTTTTAAAAATTATTTTTATAAGAAATGTATACTTGCAAGCAAAAATAATGTATAAAAATGCAAACAGTTTACATATGTAAACATACACTGATATTGATAAGATTTGCAAGCAAAAATAATGCATACATATGTACACATATTGAATCAAGAAATAAATTTTACACATCTACTACTAAGGTACACGTAAGACAATCCTTTCTAAGTCTATTAAATTTTTGTCAATTCAAATGATTCATTATAATATTGTTAGTGTTTATTAATTAAAATGGCACAAAGGTTCATAAAACAATTTCGAATGCTAGACTGGAGGTTCATACAATTATAGACAAAACAATCTTCACTATCTGCAGCTTAAATCTGATGTACCGTTTTTCAAGTACGCAGAGAGAGAGAGAGAGAGAAAGAGAGAGAGAGGAAGAAAGAGATTCGAAAAAATGACTACAAAGGTATTATTACATAAATTCTCTGCATTCTTGTGTGATCTCTGTCTTTAGAATTAAGTTACAGTTAGTCTTTATTTTGTTTTTCATTAAAATGTAAGTTATGCAGGAAATAAAAAAATGTATATTGTTATCCTATATGTGCTTTATATGCGCTCAGATTATCTCAGAGGATGATTTACTCTATCAGACGAAATCGTGAAAAATAAAGATAGATGTCTTCTGCATCAATGTTTGTCTGAGAAAAAAAAAATATTTTAAGGAATGCATGTAATTCATTTCTTGAACTTAACTGTGTAATTATCACCGTATTACATCGATATAATAAAAGTAATATTTTCCCCATTTAATAATCTCTTATTGTCTATGAGACTTGAGGTTGCGTTTTAGATTTCCTGGGGACTTCACTTGTCCCAGATACCTAGAAAAATAATTAACTTCGCCTCTATTTCAGTACATTAAATGTTGAATAATCTGCAAATTCGGGAGGTTCTAGACACTCTCTCCCATCCCCTCGAGATCCACACATGTGGACGAGGAGAAAATAAGAAAAGGACTCTTCAAACATGATTAAAAAAACCTACAGTTGTATTTGGATTTATGATGTATTATTTTTTTCTGTATATTAAATGTAGAAAATTACCAGAAAGAGGATGATTGTGCCTTTGAAACCGATGTTTTTTCCCCAAAAAAAATATTTTGGGGAAAAGATTTTTTTAAATAAAAATAGACAATTTTAATGAATCTCCCACCTCCCTTACGAATATGATGACAGTATACATGTATTGCTATGTAAAACCCAAAATATGAGTCCGACCAAAAAGTAAATTAAGTCACAGTGGCAATATTTAATAAAGATTCTGTGAAGTCGCATTAAATTTTATTTAGTGGTAAGAGAGGAGTTTTGGATAAGAGATGGGCACCCAAAAGCGCAATAGACGGGCAGACTGACATGAAGCGGGGGTATAAATTTAAGGAATCGCTGTCTAGTTAGCATAGTATGCCTGAGACATCAACAATAGTGGGAAACATGGGATAATTTATGCATAACGGGCGAAGATTTGCATGCATATTAGGCCCCCTTAGCTCCTGACTTATTGACCTGCCTAATTTACATTTCGGCCGAATTATCAGGAAATTATAATTAACTCCGCTAACTTTCAAAGAGTTATCACAGATCAGAGAAAAATTAGAAATGGAAATAAATAGTTATATGTGTAGTCATTGTACTCGATTTACAATACCTTATACATACAAAACACCAATTAAATGTGTGTGTGAATGCTTTATCAAAACGAAAGAATTGGTGGTCGAAGAAATCTCTAATAAGACAATCTCTTCTTCTGAGAAGAATTCTATTAAAATATGAAGTACATTATTACTTCAATCAACCCAGATGGTTGTAACAGCCCCCCCCCCCACACCCACCACCAACCACACACACACACACACACTCACTTCATAGTATGTATAATTAAATAATGCAATTTTTTTAAGACTTCTTAGAGCCGTACTTTTTCTTCAGAACTCGCTAAATTGTTTTAAAATCAGTAAAATTGCTTATTTTTAACTTTACGCCCGAACTTACGCCTACCCTTGAGTAGACGTAAAAGTTTGGCCTAAATTTAGTCAGGCGTAATGATACACTCTTTAATGAAACGCAAATCTTCGTGCTAGTCCCGACTTTACGTCGGCGTAGCGCTACGACTGGGCGTACGACCTTTGATGAAACGGGTCCCTGGTTACTAAATTTAACCCTTGCGTGAAAGGACTGAAGAAACGAATTCTGAAATATTGGGATACCATTCTTAAAAATCCCAATTGCCAAACTTTACATAATTCTCAACCAGTCATAGCTTACAGCAAACACAAGAATATAGGTGACGAAATAATCCGGTCTAACCTAAAACAAACACCATGTTTTATGTCTGTGGACCCCTGGAGCCCGTTTCATCAAAGGTAGTAGATTTAAGCCTTAACTTAGGTGTACTTCCGGGACTTACGCCAAAATTTAGTCAGGCGTAATTTGAATTACACCAAGTGGCGTAAGTCTAGTAATAAACGATACGTTTAGTCGCAGGACTAAGTCCTTGACAACGTTGCATTGCGCAGGCGCAAAAAACATAAACATTGTCCACTGCATACAAACATGTATATAATTTTAGCCCGTAAAAGAATAGAATAACACAAATTATAGAATAATAAATACTTGCACTGATTGAAACATGCATTGATTTATAGGGTCGTGTAGGACACATGTACCTTATAAGAAATCGATTTAAGGTTTTTACAATATTTCAATGACAAGTCTTATAAATTGAAAGTTAAAAAAGGATCGTACATGTATATCAGAATTTTATTAAAAGATAAACTGTTTATTTTGGAATTTTAATTATATACAGCACCCCCCCCCCCTCTTCTTCCCGAAATTGATACAGGTTAATGACTTCGCGCCTTTGATAATCATTTCATGATTCGATAATTACTGACTCTACTGATAAAATACTAATAAGTTTGAGAAAGAATACGATTTAAAACATTATTTTCATTATATATGTATACTGAATTGAAAGCAAAAATAATGTATAAAAAATGCAGTTAACATATGTACACATTTTGAGTCAAGAAATTAATTTTACACGTTTACTTCTAAGGTACATGTAAGACAATCCTTTCTAAGTCTATTAAATTTTTGTCAAATTTTTTATTTACTATTAAAATGGCGCAAAGGTTGATGAAATATTTTCGAAATACTAGACTCTAGTACAGTCAGTTATAGACAAAAATTATTTACTATCTGCAGCTTAAATTTACTGTACCGTTTTACAAGTATGCAGAGAGAGAGAGAGAGAGAGATAGAGATGACTACAAAGATATTCTTACAGAAAGTCTCTGCTTGCGTGGTCTCTCTCTTAGAAATTAAGTTACACTCAAGTCTTCATTTTGTTTTTCTTTAGAATTTAAGCTATGTAGGAAATAAAAAACATGTAAATTGTTCTCTTACATGTGCTTTATATTCACTCAGATTTTCTTATA